CCCCGGGGGCGCCGCGCTACAGGACCACCCGGGCAGCACTCCAGCTACTTTGCCCCAGGCGTCGGGATTCAGCCGCTGCTGAAACTGACCAGCAGCGTCAGTTTCACCAGCAGGCTGAATCCGGACACCTGGGGCAAAGCAGCTGGGGTACTGCCGGGTTGGTCTTCTGGTCACCCCCTCATCCCCCCAAGCAAGATCCCTCATAGCCCCCCTTCTGATAGTCCGGCATATCTGATAATCTGGCACCCCCTGGGTCCTAAAGGTGCCGGATTATCGGAAGTTTACTGTATTTAGTGGTTTCTTAATAAAGCAAGATTGTCACAGGATCATCATACCTCTGTAAAAGAGGACTGAAATTACTGACTAAAGCTTTGGTAACTTACTTTATTTCCTTGACAGGTACTTTTCTCTGAGACAGCTGGTGAACCATGCCTTTTTCTTCAGAGGGAAGTAGTATTAACAAAGCTTCACCACCTTCTTTGTACCTGATCAAAAGAAGAAAAAGAAAAGCAAGGGTCTTCGATTAAATGTCTTTTTAAAACTATACAAAAGGAATAGTATATACACATCATGTTACCAAACCTTGAGCCTCACAACAGCTCCAAGTAGCAAGCCACTATCTCATTTTACAAGGGGAAGACGGGGCAGATAGCAGACATGATTTGCCATCACCACAGACGGAGTTAGTGGCAAAACTAGGGACAGAATCCACAAGAGCCTGGCTTCCAAACGTAGATTTCTGTCACTAGGCCATACTTCTCTGCATATGAGAGATTTTTGTAACTACAAAAGCTAACCCATTTAATCAAAGGTACAGTATTACTGATCTGTTTTTTTCCAGCTTTTAGCCACTAGTTAATTAATTCATAACTGGTGTGGAGACCTGAAGCACTGGAAACCCACTAACGTCTCCATGTGGAAAATGGATCACATCTGGTAAGGTCAGCACACATGTAAATTGTTCTAGCATGTGTTTTTTCTGTACTACTACTGTCTTATAAAAGTACTGTGCTTTGTGAACAATGACTGGCCACTGGTAAATGGTGGTGTCCTAGCCCCAGCAGACAGCAGAACAGCAAGACCTGGACTAAAGTCAGACCTGCTAGAATTAGCACAGTGAGTTGCAAGGGAAATTCAAGAAACCATGTCTGGTCTGAAAAGAAAAGGACGCAAGTCTTCAGCCATCACCTCTTGTGCACTGAGGCTTGAGACAGTCAGTGGCATCATTGAGGATACCATGGAGGGGGCAGGGATGCACTTAACTCCATTGTGAAATATGATCAGAAGAGCAATCATACTGGGCCTGACCAACTGTCTATTTAACCCAGTTTCCTGTCTTCTGACAGTGGCCAATGTTAGATGCCTAATCTCACTTGCGTGCATGCTCCAAATGTCTTTCATTGTTACTGAAAGAGAATGGTAGAGAAGGAAACATTAAGACCAGTGTTCCCTCTAAGCTGCACAGTAGCACAACTTCAAGGAGATTAATCAGCCTTGCCCACTCAGAGGCTAGCTCCCACCCAGTCAGGGGAGCTCCATGCACTGAGCTGACTGACAGGGTCTCACAACTTAGAGACCACTGATTAAGATCCTTGCTCTAATTTGTTTCGAAATAGGAATTTAACTTTGCTCCCTCAAAAAGACTATTTAGCCTCCCCCCACCACATGCGTAAATGTGTACCAAGTTGAAAATTTCAGCAGGTACACAAATAAACATTTTAACATCCCTAATTTAGACAACTCACCCAGGCCTCATTGAAAGAAAAGCTTAAAAACAATAATGAATTAGAAGATATTGGATGCTAAGGAATAAAAGCAGAGTGACCAATTGTCAGTATGAAAACTGGGTCTAGGATTCTCTGTTCAGTATATTTAAATAGGTGTTTGGGATGTAGTCAATTTGGTAATTACCCAGATTTATGTTTGGCAGAAAGCTTAGAACTCCTACACTTTATTCTTCATGTCTCCTATTTGTTGGCAATCTCCATGTAGTAAGCCTATGCTGCTTCCTATCTAATTGGAAGAATGGGGTAAGTGGAAAAAGAAATAACTATCGCAGCCGTAAATAAATATGACTGTTTACAAATCACACTAATAGAGATACAGTGAGTAACAATCCTCTGTATTTTTCAAATCTACCTTAATTGAAACAAATATTAAACATATTTAATTCAATTAAAACAATTTTAGTAACTAAACACAGTATCTATAGTACAACATGAGTGTAGATTACCAGTAAGGTCTCATTAAATACACATATCAATCCAATTATACTGTCACAGACTGGCTGGTATTTTAAGGCAAGCTAGGGTCACTGGTGTCTGCCATGTGGTAGTTAGCTGAATATTGGGGTTGCACATAAGAAATTTCCAACCCAAAAGAAAATTCAACTCGCCCAAGGACAGAAAATGTTAGAGGGAACACTGGTCACCAACGGTCAGTGGGGTACAACTTTTTTCAACCACGACCCGCACAGCTGGGCCCGGCTGTTGATGGCTGCACGACATAGCGCTTAGATCCAGGCAGCCAGGGACTGGGCCCAGCTATTGGTGGCCGTGCAGCGCTTAGATTCAGGCAGTCAGGGGCTGGACCTGGCTGTTGGCAGCCGCACCGTGCGGCAACCCCCCAGGTAGAAATCCGCGACCCCTTTGGGAGTCACGTATCACTGCCATAGGTTATGATTATTTCAATGTTTAAATTACATCTTTTACATCCTTTACGTAGAAAATGATAATATAGTTAAGGAAAGAAACAATCACTAGGTTAGGCAAAAAATACAAAGAAAGGGTCTTCAAGTGTATTCTCTTTTTCATTAGTTTGCTATTACTAAGCAATAAGAAAAGCAATATTGATTATAATTCTCATTAAGGATGTAAAATTTCAATTAATTGGCTCATCAAGTAGTGGATGCAATTTGAATCGATTATTCGATAAGGGTGCTTCCACCTCTGAAGTGTAGCAACAGCCCTAGAGCTACTGCAATACTTCAAAGGCGGCCAGTGGGGGACTCAAGCAGTCCCCTGATTGGCCCCGTGCTCCCCGCAGAGTTTCAAAGCGGCAGTGCTGCATGGATCCTAGGGTCTGGCTCAGTATTCTACACAGTGCTGTTGCTTTGAAGTTCCCCTCTCCTTTTCCCCTCCCCCACTGCCTCCATCTGATAGAGGCAGCAAGGAGGAGGGTGTGACTAGTCGACTAGTATTCGCTTATCAGATAGTCGACTCGTCCTTTACATCCCTACTTCTCATTGTGGGAGACTTGAGACATTCAAAAGGATTGAGAGAAATCTGGTGACTATTGCTAGGTTCTAATAATTCATTTCAGCAATTCCCCTGCTTCTTTACACCTAACTAAGTTTAGGTACGCAAAATATTTCTGTTGGCTTTTGAAAAGCCTGAATGGAGAGTCTTTCATTGCAGGTTAGATTTAAACTAGCAGTGTACCCAAAACTGCAAAGTAACTGAAAAACAGATAAGCGAACACTGCTGCTGTGCCTCATCACTGAAAAACATGAAAACAAAAGAGTCAAAGGTTTGGGTAAACTGAAAAGTAAATGATTTGAAACACCATCTGGAAGATTTCGCATCTGTTCAGATTTTTCATGGTGATTTAGCTGCTGAGAAAACAAGCCAATGGTAAAGGAGCTTTATTTAGATAAATATAGAATTGCTTTTCAAGAAGAGATGAGCTACAGGCAGTCCCCGGGTTACGTACAAGATAGGGACTATGGGTTTGTTCTTAAGTTGAATTTGTATATAAGTCGGAACTGGCTCCAGATTCAGCCGCTGCTGCTGAAACTAACCAGGGGCTGACTACAGGAAGCTGGAGGCAGAATTGCTATGTCCCCAGCAGACCAGGGGCACCTGGAGCAGCTTTTCTCGCCCCGGAGGTTGAGGTGGCGGGACCACTGCGCTCTGGGCGGTCCCGCTGCCTGCGAGCTCCAGGGCGAGAAAGCCCCATTTGTAAGTGCGGATCCGACATAAGTCGGATCCGCGTAACTCGGGGACTGCCTGTATTTTCTCCTCTAACAACAAAAAACATGTTAATATAAGACTATTGGTCTGCACCATCACTAGGCTTAAATTTTCCTGCAAAAAATGGAACTTTTTTTAAAAATATATAAAGTCAGCCTGAAATGTTCTCTTAAGTTTTTTTTTCCTGCTTGTGTTTTACACTATAAATGTGTATCATAGACCTCTGAAGACAATAGGAAAATAGCTAACTCCTGAAATGACCTCATTAAGAGTTTAAAAACTGGCCCAGTTGAAACAAGAGTGGGAAATCCATCTGTAGATCTTCAGTTACTAGTACAAGCGAACATAATACCTAGGCCTTACGAAATCCTCCAGCAAAGCTGGGAAAAGCATTCCTGACATTAAGATAGATGAACAAGGAAATAAAAACTTTCAAGCCTTTAATACATCATGAAACAAAGAAAAAGTCTATCTCAATTTTTAAAGAGCCTCCTCCAGGTCACCAGTGTAACTTCTTTACAGAAAAGAAATAGCATCCTCTTCTGATTCATTTAGCCTGCTGCTTCCAACCTATACACCCTTACCAAAACCTAACAGCTGTTTTGGGTCACCAGAGCAAATATCTGTGTTTTACCAATGGAGATATTTGTTAATCACTTCTGTAACAACTGCTTTGTACATGAAATTTTCGACTAAAAACTAGGGCACTGTTAATAAGTAAAAATCAATTTACTTGATCTGCGCACCAACTAATAAGTGATGCTGATGTTTACATAATTTTGACATTATCTGAAGAGTTCAGAGTAGGTGTCACTTTAGTATGGCGATACAGATCCACCACATACAGGCCACTCCAACTTTTGAGTCTCTGCACTTCAAGGTGGCCCACTAGAAAGAAGCACTGTGCCAGCAGACCACTGTGGCTCCTTGAGACTCTGAGATCCCGATTTGGTATTTAGAAAAAAAAAAATCTGTTTAATATTATCCAAACAAAGAGTTTACCGCTTCAGAGATCTTGCCCATTTGGAACTGAGGGATGGGTAAACTACAACTTTTATAGCTAGGGCTGCCAAGTGTCCGGTATTAAAACAGTTTGGTATTTTCGCCTCCTGTCCGGTAAAAAAAATATTCAGAAAATACTGGACACCTAAAATGTCTGGTACTTTGATTTTTTCCCCAGCCAGGAGGCAAGAATCCCAGGATGTCTGGCTCAATACGGAGGCAGCCTGGCAACCCTAATGCTTACTGGGTTCCGCAGGGGAGATGTTCACCCTGCACAGGGAGGCAAGATGGTGGGCGGCTGCTAGCAGTTTGTTAGGGCCAAAAAGCCTTACCACGTATTTTTTAAAGGGGCCACGCTGTTTTGTTTGTTTTTTCGGTATTTTTTCTGAATCCATCTGGTAACCTTATTTATAGCTACAAAGTTGGTAGCAGTGTTTGCTCAGAGCAAGAAAAACCCATGGAGAAAAGAACTGCTTGTACCTCTGTATCGCCATCAA